CGAGAGAGAAAGCGAGAGAGAAAGCGAGAGAGAAAGCGAGAGAGAAAGCGAGAGAGAAAGCGAGAGAGAAAGAGAAGGGAAAGCGGTGGGTGGCAGGGAGTGACTCAATCCCTGCGTTTGGGGCTTGAATTCCAATATCTCTGCAATTATAATAAACGGCGGCACTCAAGTTATTTCCTGTATTTAGCTTTGACCCCAAGAATGGCCAAATCACGGCGGCAACCCAGATTCTTCCATTCTGACCTTTGCATGGACCCCCACCCAAAATCTAGCGAATCTCCGCTCGGGAGGTTGTGGAGGGAAGGAAGAAGAACTTGGCCGCCATGCTTTCCAGCTGATGCAGCAGCTGAGAAAATGTTTTGCGGAATAGGGGGTGGGTGGGTTCCTCTGTGCTGCTGCTGAAGCGTCTCCAGGGGAACTAAACGTCACGAGGGGGCGAGTGGCAGAATGCAGAATCCACAGATGATTGTGAAAGCGGCAGAGAACGCAAACCAGCACTTAATGATCTCTTGGGGGTGGGAACAGACACAGGTTGTGAGAAAAGGCAGATCGTTGGAGGAATGTAATTGGCCCAGATGGGGGAGACTGAATAGGCCAGGCCAGTTGTGACAATCCATCCTCCTCTGTATTGCCGGCTAATGTGCTCAGGAAGGGATCAAAATATGAAGAGGTCACAGCTAGGAATCCACCCCCCCCCCGCCAGCACATTCCTCTCTTTTGAAACACCTCAGAATGTTGTCAAACTAAAGTAGGACGCGAAGTGAGATTTTAGACATTATGTGTGAAACCTAGTGGGTCAGTCTGGACAGCCTCTCGTGGCCCCTTTGCTCCTATATTAAAAAGCCACATAGGCAGAGTTGCAGCTTGCAAAAGAACAGGAAGCCTAACCACAGAATTCAATAGTCTCCCAAGACCACAAGGGTCAGCTAAGGTTTGCTTAGAGACACATAATCCACACCTGTAACAAAAGGAGAAGACCGCATCTCCTTATAAGGTTTTCTCCTCAAGGTAACCACTAAGAAATGAGTTAAGTGTTTCCATGTTACGCTGCCTTTGAGAATATATAAGAACGCCTGTTTCAACAATGAAGATTGTTCAGAATTTGCAATGTTAGCCATTTTCGCTAACTTTCTGAACCTGGCTGCCAAATAAACTTTTCCTGTATCCTGAGAAGTCTAAAGCCTGTCGTTTCCTGCAACAAAACTTTCTAGTTGTTTGCTTGGAATGCATTGGCTCTAAATCAGCCTAAATCCGTGGTCTGAAATGATTTGCTTTTTTTATATTGCACTAACTCCGGGGTCCTCTAACTACGGCCCCTGGGACGGATACATGCAATGAACGCTTGTGTTGCTGCAGAGTCTCCCCCTTCAGGGTCTTTTTGTGGAGGTTGGAGGGGGGCAGAAATTCCAACTTGGGGTCTGCTTCGGCCTCCTGGTGGGGGGCTTTGGGTGAAAGCTGGAGAGAAGAGCCGCTGGGGAGCTGGAGGGCCTCGTTCCAGTGGGACTGCATCATGGCCTGGAACTGGCTGACCATCTCAGCCCTCTGAGCCTCCAGGCGTCGGCACCTGGCCTTGCACTCCCGCGGGTCTTCCCTCTGCTTGGAAGGTCTATGCTCCTAGTCCTCAGTGAGGTGCTTCTGCTGAGCCTCCTTCTTGGTCAGATCCAACTTGAACCGAACTGTTTTGCCAACTCTTTCTCCTGGGGGCTGCTTAGCTCCAGCAGCTGCTTCCTGTGGGGGCCCTAAGGAGACCAGGCAGGCAGGCGAGGAGGGGCTGGGAGGGGAGGGGCGAGTAGAGGCTGGCAAGGCATCCCTTGGCATGAGTGACATTGAGTTGGCCACACCGACCCAGTCACATGACCACCTTGCCACGCCCAGCCAATCGGTCATTAGGCAGATCATATTAGAGATCCGCGGGATTTAAAATTATGAATTTACTGGGCCCTGGGATCCGAAAGGTTGGTGACCCCTGCACTAAATTGTGGGTTAACTGGTGTAATTGGGGGTGGGGGGGATTTGGCAGGACCCTCTGAGGACATCTGGGCCTGCTGGTCACAACGGCAGACCTAAAACATGTTAGACACAGGAGAGCCTAAGAATGGAGATCTAGCAGCCTTGGGGGGGCTGAAAAATATTGTTTAGCTAAGAAGCGGGAAGTTCTCCCCCCCCCTTTGTTTCTGTTGTGGCCCACAGAGTCGGACAGTGAGGAGGTTGAGGAGGAACCTGGGGCAGTCTTGGGGGGGCTGAGGGAAGCTCAGACGAGGGCTCTGCGTGGGAGGCAGAGGGGGAGCTAGACAGCAGTGAGGCAGAGGAACAGCTGGAGCCTGTTCCCAGTGTGCGCATGCACAGAGCCGCCAGAAGACAAGGATAACTAAGAAATCAGGGTCGACATGGGAGTAAGGCCACAGGTGGATGATGAACGGCCCCTCCCAGAGGAAACAAAGGAGGAGCAAATGGGGAGGGGGCTTTTGCAGGAAGCAATTTGTTCCTTCGGTCTTTCAAGAGTAGAAAGTTCTGTTTGTGACTGTAAGAGACTCTGTGCCAAATTTCGCCTTGCCCTGCGGTTGGAAACTAGTTATCTGGCAGCTCTCCAAGCGAGATAAGGTTCGCGTGGACACAGTTGTGTCAATAAAAGAGGTTTTGCAGGGACCCAGACTCTGCTTCATGCTTGTGAGGGAAACCTAGGTCAGAATAGCTGGATACTTTTGCTCATTGGACTTGAGGGGGGTCCCAAATTCTTCCTGAAGGCTGGGAGGGGTCTTCCAGTCTGGGGCAGAGTGAGGCAACCCCCCACCCCAGAAGCCTCTTTGCCGGAAACAAGAAACTTGCTGGCCCATTGTGGGGTTTATTTTGATTTGTGGCTCGATGGAGGGGCTGTGAGGGCTGAACAAGTTGTTGCTTGTAGCAACCAACTCCGTCCCCAGCCTCACCCAGCAAATTTCTCCACCTGGAGCTGTAAATAATTGGGAGGCTTTGAAAAATATTTAGCCTGAGTCCTGCCAGGTTCTGACTAAGGCAGGTTTCCTGCGTGTGGCTAGGACAATACGTGCGTACTGCAGATTTTTGGGGGTTCAGCCAATTGTTCTTTTGCTCCATTCAGCAGAGGCCAACGTTGTAAAAGCATCATCTGCCTGTGCTCTCCCCCACCCAATTCCCAAGGCCCTTGAAAGGTGGGAAAAGACCCTCCTGGTGTCTTTGGCAGCTGCAGAGCTGCAGACTCTCCTTGGGGTTAGAGAGGTCACTCTGGGCCCAGCCTGTGCCAGCCTTGCCTTCCTGCTGCTCAGGCCAAACTCTTACTCCAGTGAGGATTTCTCTGGTGGTGGTCAGGGGGGTCTCTTGATCCTGAAACTGTGGCCAGGGGAGGAGAGACCCCTGGCTCCAAACGTTTTGGGGAAGGAGCTCAAGGGAAAGAAGGAAAGAGGACAGTGTACCTTCATCCAAATAGCCAGGGACGTGTTTTGCCTCTTGGGGGGGAGGGGGGGGGCTGGTAAATGGCTACAGAGGCAGGCTTGTTGAGCTGAAGGAAAGTCCCCCCCCTCCCAGGATCAGACCACAGGGACGGCCCCTCCCTCTTTCGGTTCTAGATGAATGAAGAAGGGATTACAGGGGAAAACAAAGGAAGAAAATCCCTTTGCACCACCTTGAATAACAAAAGACGCCTCCCAGCCCCGCAGGGAGAGGGGGAGAAGATCTGGGGCAGGATCTCAGGGCCTGGGCTGGAACCGAGATCCTGCTCAGCCAAGCTCTCCTGGGGGTTCTGCCCCCCAAAGAGGGCTGGGAAGGTGCTGTCCTTTCTCCGCCTGGAGTTCCAGCAGCCGTCCTGCCCCACCAGGCTCCATACTGCTGCCCCTTAGCAGAAATCCCTGATTGAAAGCAGGATTGGGACCTGGGGGAGGGGGCTTTGGTTGGCCCTGGGGATGAGATGATTTTGAACCCTAATCTTGAGGCTGTTCCTAAACATGGGGAAATGGGGGGCTCACTTGGCGTGCTTCCAATAGCCCTGCAGAGGGATTGGATCAGGGCGAGAGACGTTGCTTTGTGTCCCCCAGGGTGGCTTCAGCCAAAACTGGGGACCTGACTGATGTTTCCTCCCCTCCCCCTCTCTTCCTCCTCTTCTTCCTCCTCCTCCTCCTCCTCCTCCTGTTCAGTATGGGATCGTTTTTGATGCGGGATCTTCCCACACAGCCATGTTTGTCTACAAATGGCCGTCCAACAAGGAGAACGAAACTGGGATTGTCAGCCAGCACAGCGACTGCCACGTGAAGGGTAAGCAGAATGGGGGCTCTGCATCCCCTGCCCCCTCCCCTAGTTGCTTGTGGGAGGGGGCCATCCCGCTGGCCTGGCACTCAGGGCAGATGACTTTGCAGGAGGCGGTATCTCCAGCTACGTCAATAAAACATCAGAAGCCGGTGAGAGCTTGGTACTCTGCCTTGACCAGGCCCTGAAGGATGTCCCGAAGGCGAGGCATGGCATCACTCCCCTCTACTT